CATTGCTATACTGTCCGAGATATGCAGGAGTGTGAGGGAATGAAAGAGCGGATTATCAGGCTTCAAAAGAAAAAGCTACTGAAACACTGGTACTGGACAAGGGAGATATTATGGGGACCATACATAAACGACTGCCGACAGAAGACACAAGATCAGATTAAATAGCAAATGCACAAATCTGTGAGCAAGGAATTAGGTGTGGATCCGGCAAGAAGGGACAGGTGAGAGGAAGAGAATGTGTGTACAATTAGTGTGCTACAGGAACAGTTAGCATCCAAACCTCAAGTCATTTGCTGTGGGAGACGGAGCATCTATGGGTATGCCTGGTGTGCTATAATGTCAATTCTTAAACCAGTAATCAGTAATTACTTAAAAAACATGTCTCATAGTTCATTAACAGAACCAAATAGTCCATCAATTAAATCAAATAACCCATTAACAGCATTATATATTTCATCAGTGAAATCAAATAACCCATTAACAGCATTACACATTTCATCAGTGAAATCAAATATTCCATCAAGTTCGAACATTCCAAAAACAAAATCAATTGAACAAAACCACCTTTCTGCTAAAGAACGGAACAAGTGGAAACTACATTTAAAAAAAACTGAAATACATTCACTGCATCTGTACACCCCACCCCTCCCCCCGAACTCACAGATGGCGAGCTCAGTATGTAGTCAGACACAGGCAACATCTGATACTGAGGCAGGAGAGAGGATTTCTAAGGCCCAAATGGACAAACTAAAAGAAGATGACAAGAAAAGGTTCACTCCTGGAATATGAAGGACATAAAATGTCATGAGGCATGCAATAATTGTGGAGCAAGATCAAAGGTTTCAAACTGCTTTTTTTTTTTTTTAAGAATGGGCCAATGGCTGGTTATAAGACAATGTTTAGCTCATTCATATATGTACAGACTCTGATGATAACACAAGAAATGACTATCTCGGACCCGTTTGTTGATATCACCAATAATGATCATCTCTGGCTTGTCTCTGGTGACATCACCAACAATGATTATCTCTGGTGATGTCACCAACAATGATTATCTCTGGTTACATCACCAACAATGATGATCTCTGGTGTTATCACCAGCAATGATTATCACTTGCATTTTCACGAACAAGTATTATCTCTGGTGTTATCACAAACAATGATTATCTCTAGACCGTCTCAGGTGATATCACCAACAATGATTATCTCTGGCCTGTCTCTGATGATATCACCAACAATGATTATCTCTGGGTCAATATCTGATGATATCACCAACAATGATTATCTCTGGCTCGTCTCTGGTGATATCACCAACAATGGTCACCTTGGTCATTTCTGGTAATAACACCAACAAGGTTAGAGACTAGTAACACCACCAACAACAAATCCTGCCCTGGATCCAGCTGTACGCCAGAACCCCATCCCTCACAGACATAAACAAACAGCCTTGGCCACATGTAAAGGCAAACAATGCTAACATCATCTACACTTTACACTGACACACATTCAATACCTAAGCACATTTACATATGCAATCTACACTGCAGCTTCAGAGATTTGCTGCAGGCAAACTTAGTTTCATGGGTGTGCCCTATGAGCTTAATGTTGATTTTTTTTTTTTAAATTAGCAGTCAGTATATATGCAGGAGTGAGAGATTCTAAGGTTGCAGTTAAATAGTCATTCAGTAAATCCAATATGGAGAATCCATGATAATAAAAAAAAATATGCCTTCAAAAAATACAATTTATGGACAGGAATAAACAAAATACAAGTGTATAGTTGATATAAATTAAATGTCCTGTCAGAAATATTTGCAGACACAACAGTCTCGACAACAGACTGACTTGACATTAAATAATCAAATAAGTTAACAACAAAGTCTCCATATCAAGCTGTCTCAACAGTTCAAGTCTCAAATTCAAACTTTCTCAACATCATACTATGTCAAAATTGTCTCAACAATAAGCTGTCTTAACATCAAGCTGTCTCAACAGTTGTCTCAAATTCAAACTTTCTCAACATCATACTATGTCAACATGGTCTCAACAATAAGCTGTCTTAACATCAAGCTGTCTCAACAGTTGTCTCAAATTCAAACTTTCTCAACATCATACTATGTCAAAATTGTCTCAACAATAAGCTGTCTTAACATCAAGCTGTCTCAACAGTTGTCTCAAATTCAAACTTTCTCAACATCATACTATGTCAAAATTGTCTCAACAATAAGCTGTCTTAACATCAAGCTGTCACAATATCAAACTGTGTCAACTTCAAACTTTCTAAACAATATATTGTCTTAACATCAAGCTGTCTCAAAATCAAACTGTGTCAACTTCAAACTTTCTAAACAATATAATGTCTTAACAACAAACTGTCTCAACTTCAAACTTTCTAAACAACATATTGTCTTAACAACAAACTGTCTCAACTTCAAACAATATAATGTCTTAACAACAAACTGTCTCAACTTCAAACTTTTTAAACAACATATTGTCTTAACAACAAGCTGTCTTAACTTCAAACTTTCTAAACAACATATTGTCTTAACAACAAGCTAGCTGTCTCAACTTCAAACTTTCTTAACAAAATATTTTCTTAACAACAAGCTGTCTCAACAGCAAGCTGATAATAATCCAATCATTTTCTCGGTCAGGCCAGCAAACAACATACTAGATCCTCGGTTAAAGAGAAAAGTGAACTTTATCGAACCACGTACACTAACTTCTAATAAAGCAGTCACACAGAAACCACACACACATTAACACTCAAGCCAGCAGTCACACAGAAAATACACACATTAACACTCAAGCCAGCAGTCACATAGACACCACATACACTAACACCCAATCAAGCAGTCACGTAGAAACCACACACACATTAACACTCAAGCCAGCAGCCACACAGAAAATACACACATTAACACTCAAGCCAGCAGTCACATAGACACTACATACACTAACATCCAATCAAGCAGTCACATAGACACTACATACACTAACATCCAATCAAGCAGTCACATAGACACTACATACACTAACATCCAATCAAGCAGTCACGTAGAAAGCACACACACACACATTAACACCCAAGCCAGCAGTCATGTAGAAACCATACATACTAACAAACAAGAGGGCAGTCACATAGAAACCACACACACATTAACACCCAAGCCAGCAGTCATGTAGAAACCATACATACTAACAAACAAGAGAGCAGTCACATAGAAACCACACACACATTAACACCCAAGCAAGCAGTCACATAGAAACCACACACACATTAACACCCAAGCAAGCAGTCACATAGAAACCACATACACTAATACCCAAGCAAGCAGTCACATAGAAACCATATACATTAACAGCCAAAAGTGGAGACAACACAGAAACCATACACATTAACACACAATTGAGGACCCACACCCAGCAACATACAAGTGTGGAAACAACACACAAATCACATTCACTAACATGCAAGTGTGAATATATACCCTTTAACACAGAAATGTGAATACACCCGCACTTACAAACAAGTCTGAACCACAAATATTAACATATGCATGCGGAGTGAACATGGAAAATGGCACCATGAAGACATCAAACAGGAAACAGAAGCAAATATCAGGTCAGCTTGTGGCACTGGAAAATCTGTGGCACAAAGAGTATTATAGTCAACTATGGGGTGATTTTTATACAGCTGTGAGATTCAAACATACACACACAAACTAAGCATACATGAACAGAGATATCTGCAACTGGCATTACTCAACACCAACAGAATCTGCAATGTTAGAAAACAAACCGGGCCATGTGATGAAAGCCACAGATTACTGTCAACTACTAACTCCCTTAACTGATGGCAGTAATGATGTAATAAACAAATCGGCATGTACTGATTGGCACTCACGGAGAGAAGTAGAGAGGCAGAATGGCATACTAGACACACACACAAAAACTGAAAACTAAAGTGCCTGTTAGTTACTGGGGCCCTCAAGGGGAGCAAAGAATAGTAACACTGCAGCCTACCTGGCATGTCGTAAGAGGCAACTAAGGGTGGGGTTGGGCTAAAGGTTGGCTACCCCACTGAGTTAAAAAACAAAAGCAACAACAACCAACCAACCAATCATGGATAGGTCGAAGAAGAGAAACTATTTATACCCAGCCAACCAAGACTAGGGGCAGGAGGGTGTTTGGTGTGTGTGAGTGTGTCTCTAATAGAAGAATGATGGCATAGAGAAAGCTGAAATCAGTCCAGAGTCATTGCACCTTCTTCCAGTATGAAAATCTCCAAAACTGGCACCTGGAGTAGGGTGGGGAAAGGTGAACTAAATTCAGGTAAAACAATTTTGTTTGCAGGTCAAAGTTATGAACCCATAATGATAAAATACAGACTGAATTCATCCATTTAAAACGGTCCGACTGACACAAATTCAGTCCGTATTTCATAGTTATGGGTTCAAGCTGTATGACAGACGTGGATAACGATGATACCTATTTCAGGGGTGTTGGGCTGGTCATGGGTTGAAGCAGACTTGCTCGTACAGCAAGATGCTGTCAACATGTGGAGATGGCAAGTTTGAATACCAATATGGTAACAATAACTTTTGGGTTTTATGTTGTCTAGGGTGTCCTTCTATACTTCTACTTCATTCTATGAGTGTCCATCAATACATGTCAATTTATTTACAATACTGTTTCTTAGGTTTCAAGGGTTTCCTTTCTTCTTGTTTTTTTATGATGACAGCAATATTTTACTATCAACTACAATCTTCATTCATCAAGGGATGACAGCAATTAAGTGATTCAACATCTAAGAGACTATGACCTCATAATATCAATGAATGAACAAGATTAACAATAAAATATCTAAAGTATCACAGAATGTGATAACCCATAGATTTGTGCTGTTCTATCAACTCCCACCAGGTGCCACGCAAGGACAAACAAAATGTCAAGAATGCTCCACCAGATGCCACAGGAAAATGACCAAAGTTGGGTGATCACCTGAGGAAGACATCGTCAAAGTTCTGCACCAGGATGAGAGAAAACTTCACAGCCTGCTCCACGGCTGCCAGGTTGGTCTGTCCCTTCGGCCATGCAATGTTGGGGCCAAACACGGTGGCAATGTTCTCTGCTGTCATGTGGTTCACATCTGCCTTGCTCACCACCTGCACAAATGCAACAGTGCCAACGTTATAACCAACATGCATACAACACCAACAATATAAGCAACCAGCTGACAACAGTTCTGTATCTACATTATAACTGATTAACTTACAAAAAGCACCAACATTATAACCGACTAAAATTCAACAGTGCAATATTTGCTTGAACTAGTCATATTTGTGTGAGAGATCTGATAAAGAGCTAATGTTTGATACAGAGCTGATGTTATTCAGAGAGACCAAAACGGAAATAAAGATGTGTAAGACTTGATGTTTGCCTGCTGCACGGGATATGGCAGACCTGACATTTGCTGACTGCAGATGATGTCTGAGATATCTGCTAAGTGTACATGTGTGAGATGTTTGCTTAATGCACACAATCTATAAGACTTGATGTTTGCTGAGTGTACATGATGTGTGAGATGTTTGCTTAATGCACACAATGTATAAGACTTGATGTTTGCTGAGTGTACATGATGTGTGAGATGTTTGCTTAATGCACACAATGTATAAGACTTGATGTTTGCTGAGTGTACATGATGAGTGAGATGTTTGCTTAATGCACACAATGTATAAGACTTGATGTTTGCTGAGTGTACATGATGTGGGAGACTTGGTGGATGCTAAATGTACATGACGTGTGAGATCTGGTGTTTGATGAGTGTACAGGTTTGCTGAATCACATGATGTGTGATATCCTTTGTTTGCTAAATGTACATGATGCATGCGTCATTTCTGCTGAATGTGCATGACGGTCAGTCTAAACATTTGCTGAACGTTTGAGACTTGATGTATGCTGAATGTGCGAGACTTGATATTTGCTGAATATGAGACTTGACATTTGCTGACTGTGTAAGGCTTGATTACTGAATGTCTGAGACTTGATGTTTGCTGAATGTGTGAGACTTGGTGTTTATTAAATATACATGTTTACTCAATGCATGTATGCAAGACTTAATCTTTGCTGAATGTGTGAGACTTGATGTTTGCTGAATATGAGACTTGACATTTGCTGTGTATAAGATTTGACTGCTGAATGTGTGAGACTTGATGTTTGCTGAATATGAGACTTGACATTTGCTGACTGTATAAGATTTGATTGCTGAATGTGTGAGACTTTATGTCTGCTGAATGTGTGAGACTTGATGTTTGCTGAATATGAGACTTGACATTTGCTGACTGTATAAGATCTGATTGGTGATTGTGTGAGACTTGATGTTTGCTGAATATGAGACTTGACATTTGCTGACTGTATAAGATCTGATTGGTGATTGTGTGAGACTTGATGTTTGCTGAATATGAGACTTGACATTTGCTGACTGTATAAGATTTGATTGCTGAATGTGTGAGACTTTATGTCTGCTGAATGTGTGAGACTTGATGTTTGCTGAATATGAGACTTGACATTTGCTGACTGTATAAGATTTGATTGCTGAATGTGTGAGACTTTATGTCTGCTGAATGTGTGAGACTTGATGTTTGCTGAATATGAGACTTGACATTTGCTGACTGTATAAGATTTGATTGCTGAATGTGTGAGACTTTATGTCTGCTGAATGTGTGATGCTCGACGTTTGATGAATGTACATGATGCTTGAAACTTGTCTGCTGAGTTTACATGATATCTATGATAGCTCACTGACCTGTCGTAAGAACTGAAAAACATATTTCAGGATGATATAGTTGTCCTCTGGCAGCTCGTCTTGTAAAATACGCTGAACCTCGGAGAGTTGTTTGCTAGAATCCATGTCTGAATGTCAAAAAATTTTTTTTTTATATCTGTAAGCATTTTTTTCAGGATGAGCGAAGAAGGCTGAATGGAGACTACAAACACACTCACACATGACTACACTTACACACATAAAAGTAAAAAGCAAAGATCCCCTTTTCACACCTTAGGCACATCGAGCATATGGTAAGAGCATCCTATATTTTTACAGACCAATCGGCACTGGATGGGTAATGTGGTCAGCATTACACCAGCCGTCTTTACTTTCCCAGGACAGCCATCTTAGTACCCATTTTAGGATGGGTCGACCTGCAACGCCCCATATCTTTAAAAAAAAAATCCATGCAGCCAGCAGTGGGTTTCGATTGCTGTATGTTGGAATTACGAGTCAGACTCACAACATCTAAGCCACAGAGGCTGCTACTTAAATGCAAACACAAACTTTAAAGCTCTTGAACTTACATATCTACATTCATACACACATATTCAAAATGTCCACAAGCTCTTACACTCACAAACATCACTCACACCTACACTGACACCCACTACACACTCTTATACTCACACACACATACACCCATCACATATACCCACTCACACACATGCAAAATGTAACACACAAATGTAAGCCTAGAATATGTTGAGCAGCGCACATACGTACAATGTAGCCTGGTGATGGGTTCAAACAAGTCGTACGTCATCAGTGGTTCCTGGAGTTCACGTAAGAACTTTTTCAGGATGGCTGCTGCCAGGTGTGGGTCACTATAGACTTGGAAATCTATTCTCTCACCTGGAATTTACAAAGTCATCACCATTAGAATCAACAACGTGAGCAACTTGTTTAAAGTTACACAGATCAAAAAGGCATATCAAATAAACACACACTACATAAATATTATCATTATTAAATGGACACAATAGATCATTCACTGCAAGATCTGTAACATATAACACAACTACAGTCAGACACGTGGTTCTGCAGGTTAGTGAACGCCTTCAACAATTTCATGATTCCTGAGTGTTTAGGTTTTATTTCTCTGACAGTAAAGTAAAGGGACCTTTTCCATGCTTTCAGGCATTGGGTATATACGGCTAGACCTGTATTTTATAGACCAATCGGCACCTGGTGGGAGATGTGGTCAGCATTATGGCGGTCGCCTTTACTTCCCAGGACTGTACCTCAAGGCTGAGTTGACCTTGGAGCCAAGATCATTTTTAAAAAAATTAATAACCAGCTCTGTTAGGATCCAAACCCATGAGCTTCCAATCCACAGGCGAGCGTCTAGCCGCTACACCATGGGGGCCTCCCCCAACCCCACCCACAATTGATGGTTTATTTTTTTTTTTAAAAGTCCTCATGGTTTTGAAGAGTAGTACAAGACTGCCACCGCAGAAATAATCAGACCTTTATCATAGAATATTACCAAAGACAGCGGTATACTGTAGATAACCTCCATCGTGGAGATGGCACAGCATTTTTTTTTAGTCAGATACACTCTGGGGACACAGGAGAGGTACACATAAGAGAGAAACCCCACTACTACATGGATATATAAGTTCATCACTGCAAGACCAACAAACAAACTACATACTGTCCTATAGATGATGGACACATACAAGAGAAGCACATACAAAAGAAACACCATTATCACATGGACAAAAAAGTTAATCACTACAAGACCAACATACTGTCCCACAGATGATGGACATACAATAGAAACCTGTGTGAAGACTTGGTGATAGAGGGCAGCAAACTGAAGTCCTGTCTGTTCTGGACCTGGTACCTGAAAGGGTAAGGGGAGGGGGAAGAGAGAGAGTCATACAGAGAGGGAGGAAGACACATGCTGAGGTAGACTGGGAGAGACCGTGTAAAGATGGACAGATAAAGGTAGAGGAAAAAAAGGAAAAGGAGTTTGGGGAAGAAGGAAAAAACGAGAGGGAGGGATGGAGACATGATGAGGGAAAGTGGGGAAGGGACAGCAAAAAACAGAGAGGGAGACAAATACAGAAAGAGGGAATGCAGATACAGAGATGGGCAGATGAAGAGAGAAGGAAGAAGGGAAAGAAACAGAGATGGAAGGAGGAAAATATGACAAAGAGAGTTGAAGGAAGGGAGACAGAGGGAGAGAGAACAGACAGGGAGAGAAGCAGATGCAAGCAGAGAGAGATGTAGACATAAAGGAGAGAGAGACAAAGGGACAGCATAGAGAGGCAAGCAGACAGAGGGAGAAAACTAAAGAAAGAGAGAGCAACACCAAAGTCCACAAGTGGATGAAAAACTAGAACTTGCAACCAGAGTCTACAACCAGTGAATGCTAAGAAGAAAAGGAAGAAAAAGCTGAAACAACATACTGACAATCACATCCATGACAGTGACAGGTGACAGACAGAGAGATATGACAGAAATATTACCATCATCGTATCTCTCCTGTACTTCTCTCATGGTAGAAACCCTTGCACATCGCCTAAACAGACCTTCCACTTCATCACCTGCAGCAACAGAAACCAGATTTGTCCAATAATAAACAAATCAATTTTTACCAAGGCACAAAACAAACGCTTTCACAAAATATTAAACAGACGTAACAATTTTTAAACAAATTATTTTAAAAAATGTTTACTAAATGTTAACAAATTTCTGGTAAATAACTGAACAACCATAAAGTTACACAGACAAATATCAAATGAAAAATAAGTTTAACCAAAAAAGGAAACAAACACAAGGTTTCACCTAAAATTAACAGAAGAAATGTTTTTACCTAAAGTTAAAAGGCGGATCTCAACAAAATTCTGAACCCTACAATTATAAGCTAAAAGCATTAGAAAACTAAAGACTAAGGGAACTGATGAACATAAGGGGTGAATTCAAGACAGGTGATGAAATAAGAGAAATGTCTGGACAATCAATTGTATCAAAAGTTATACAACAAAGAAGATGGCAATCTACTGGACACATCATGAGAAGAAATGGACACAGAATCACCAAACAAGCACCGAGATGGGAAACAAACAGACTGAAGAAACAAGGATGTCCAAGAGAAAGTCTGAGAGAAATATTGTTGAGAAAGGATAAGAATGCTGGACCAGATTCCATCTATATCATCTGGAGGACTGCACACGACAGATCAGAAACAATGACTGGATGGGGACCTCTATGTGATGTATCGGGCTAAATGAGATGATGATGATAACAGGGGAAAGTTTACCTACATTTAACAGAAAGGAGGGTTTTTACTAATATGGGAGCATCTTATCTATAGTTAATAGAAGAAAGGTTTCATTAGAATTTAAATGTTTCGCATAAAGTTAACTAAGGAAAGGTTTCATATTTTGTTAACAGAAGAAAGGTTTCACTTCCAGTTACTGGATGACAGTTTCCATTAATGTTAACATAAGAAATGTTTCACCAAAAGTTAACAGAAGACAGGTTTAACCAAAACTAATAAAAGAAATGTTTCCCCAAAAGTTAACAGCAGAAAGGTTTCACTATAAGTTAACAGAGGAAACGTTCACCAAAAGTTAACAGAATAAAGTTTTCACTAAACATAAGCAGAAGAAAGGTTTCACCAAAAAGTTAACAGAAAAAAGGTTTCATAAAAAAAAAGTTGTCTGAGACAGACTGTAGGAGTGACCAGAAGAGATAAAATCAGGAATGAGGTTACACAAGAAATAGCACAAAACCAATTCTTAATTCCAAACAAAGACAGCAAATCAAATGGTGTGCCCACCTGGAGAGAATGCCTTCTGATGCTATACCATACAAGGGATACATCAAAAGAGCAGAAGGACGTAGATCAAGAGTTAGATGCAGAACAATATGGAAAGATACCATTAGAGAAACTCTACAGCACTACAATGTGTCTATGGTCGAAGCAACAACAAGAGCATGGAGCAGGACCTTATATCTTCACTGACACCTGAAGGCTGTGAAAGAGTGGTAAAGAAGAAGAAGAAGAAACATTAACAGAAAAAAATGTTCACCTAAAGTTAGCTAAGAAAAGGTTACTCATGGCATGATTGTACTTAGGGCTAACAGAAAAAAGGTTTAGCCAAAACTCAACAACAACAACAACAACAAAAAGGTTTCACATAAAGTTAAAAGGAAAAAACTGTCATTAATAGTAAAACAAAGAAGCTGTGGAAGACAGCACTGACAAACCTCCAACTGCCTTGAGATACTCCACTGTCTCCTCCACTGGAAGGGGTATAATCCTGCCTGTGTTATTCTTGATGCTGAAAGTTGCCAGCAAAAATATTATTAATGTTAAACTTAAATATCATTCTTCCCCCCCCCCCCTTTCCTTCAATCCACTAACCTCTCTCTCTCTCTCTCTCTCTCTCTCTCTCTCTCTCTCTCTCTCTCTCTCTCTCTCTCTCTCTCTCTCTCTCTCTCTCTCTCTCTCTCTCTCTCTCACGCACACATGCATGCACGCACACATTTTTTCACAGAAATAGAAAACATACAGGTGAACAAAAAGAAGCGTATGATAATAAATAAACACACAATTATACAAACACATACACACATTAAAACATAAGACATCCATTGCAGTTTAAAAGACTAGGCATTCCCCAGAAGACACTCTAGTAGACAGAAAGGTTATAATATTCATCAAGCTATATCAGATGAAATATGAATAAAAACAGATAAAACATCAAAGAAGACACACACACAACACAACCAAACAAAAAAGTCATGTTCTCTTAGGAGAGGCAAGTCAAGACAAGACAGAACGGAATAGGAAAAGACATACATCAGAGAAAACCAGATTTAAATCAGAGAAAACAAGACATTCATCAGGACAAACACGCCATCTATTGTGACAGACAAAACCAGACATCTATTGGGACATAAAAGACATGACATCCATCAGGACAGGACAATTATCAGGACAAACAAGACAAGGCATCAGGACAAACAAGACATGACATCAGGACAAACAAGACTTCTATCAGGACAAATAAGACATCCATCAGAACAAACAAGACATGACATCAGGACAAACAAGACTTCTATCAGGACAAATAAGACATCTATCAGAACAAACTAGACTAGACAGCAGGACAAACAAGACATCTATCAGGACAAATAAGACATCCATCTGAACAAACAAGACAAGACATCCATGAATACAAACAAGACATACTCATGCAGAGACAGGCCAAACTGTTGGGCCTTTTTCGGAGCTTTGCCATCAGATCCATCATAGGGGTAGGAGACTCTGTTTCTTTCAGACTTCTGGGCATCGAACCTGGGAGAGAAGTAGCCAGAGAATTCTTATCATCAGCGGGTATGGCTTAGCTGTTGGTGCTTAGATGATGGTACATTAGTTGGCACTTGTATGAATGACACGCGGGATCCGCGTTAGCGCAGTCGATAGGAGGCTCACTTTCAAATCCAGCTGCGACTCGCTGCAACCACGATTGGTGTTCGAAACCGAGCGGTTAACGGGGTTCACCCAGCCTCTAGGAAATGGGTACCAGAGTTGACACTCTGGGGTCAATGGAGGAACGTCGCTGTAGCTACAGAGTTGTGTGCGGGCAGCGACACAGGCGGACGGTTTTTTATTAGCTGTTCGTACTGGTGGCAGATCACTTAGATTAATAACCGTGTGCAATGACACTGGTTCACATCTCCCGACTTTACCTTTACCTTTACAGTGCATTAGTTAGCACCTGTATGCATGACAGAAATTGCAGAAAACCCTGTTCAATCATATATCCCAGGTACTGAAGGGCACCTGTACAGTTGGAGTAACACACAGTCTATTGTGAGGGTACAAGTTATTACTTGTGGAACCATGGGTGTGATAAATGAAACTATTTTATGATAAGCAGAACTATGTGTATGATAAGCAGAACTATGTGTATGATAAATGGAACTATGTGTGTGATAAATGGAACCATGTGTGTGATAAGTGAAACCATGTGTGTGATAAGCAGAACCATTTTTGTGATAAACAGAGCTATGTGTGTGATAAATAGAACTGTGTGTATGATAAATGGAAATATGTGTGTGATGAATTGAACTGTGTGTGTGTGATAAATGGAACCATGTGTGTGATAAATGGAACTGTGTGTGTGTGATAAATGGAACTGTGTGTGATAAATGGAACTATGTGTGTGATAAATGGAACTATGTGCATGATAAATGGAACTATGTGTGTGATAAATGGAACTATGTGTGTGATAAATGGAACCATTTTGTGACAATTGGAACTATGTGCATTATAAGTGGTAACATGTGTGTGATATGTGAAAACATGTGTAATAAGTAGAGTTATGTGTGTGATTAGTGGAACCATGTGTCTATTAGGACCAGGAGCTGTGACATTAAATAAAAATAAAAAAGGTGGGGGGGAGGTGGTAATAGAACCTCACACATTTTAGGGGAAAGGACGGGGGGGGGGGGGGGGGGGGGGGGTGGGGGGGGGGGGGGGGAGGGGCATGGGACTTTTTTTAACTACTCAATAAATATTATAATTAATAATAATGTGGGGGAATTGCAAATAATTGAAAAAAAAAAATGATATATCCAAATAAAACACATAAAAAAATATGTCTATATGTGGTTTGGGTTATGTGGGGGTGGGGAAAATCCCTCAATAGTGGTAATTATAAAATCGGTGTAAAAAAGTAATATACCTGGCAGTAAAGTTTGCAGGTGGTGTGTGTGTAAAACAAGAAAGGGGTGGTGGTGGTGGTTAGAGAGAGAGAGAGAGAGAGAGAGAGAGAGAGAGAGAGAGAGAGAGAGAGAGAGAGAGAGAGAGAGAGAGTGCGTGTGTGTGTCTAGGGAAGAGGTGCCACAAATCTACCCATGCCACCACAGACACTGTGTAATGTAGCTGACGTCACCAGTGACAGTAAGTGTGTCTCTTGTCAGACATCACAAGTGGTCACCAGTGACAGTAAGTATGTCTCTTGTCAGACATCACAAGTGGTCACCAGTGACAGTAAGTGTGTCTCTTGTCAGACATCACAAGTGGTCACCAGTGACAGTAAGTGTGTCTCTTGTCAGACATCACAAGTGGTCACCAGTGACAGTAAGTATGTCTCTTGTCAGACATCACAAGTGGTCACCAGTGACAGTAAGTGTGTCTCTTGTCAGACATCACAAGTGGTCACCAGTGACAGTAAGTGTGTCTCTTGTCAGACATCACAAGTGGTGCACATGCTGCACAAGTCTGAGGATGACAGGTAGATGATGTTGCTATGGTTACCTTTGTGTCTTGGCGGTGTCATACGTGCCATTGTGTCAGCCACATACCTTTTGTCTGTCCTGACACAGGCATAGTCCTACTCAGGGGTGCTGGAACCCGGTGAGGGAAAGGGGAGGGAGGCTTAGACACCTTGAGCCCCCCCCCCCCCTCCCACTATCCCGCCTTCTAACCATGAAAAGCTATTTTTGAAATAAAGCTAAGGCGAACACCACCCCCACGCAGGTCAATGATGAGTGCCATAACTACGAGATTGTAATTCGCGTGAGCCGCAGCAGAGACACTTGACTTATATGTGACAGTGTAGTGCGTGAAACATTTACTCGAGAGCAGTTGCTCTCTTCAGTTGTGTTTACCTCAACAAACCAGCCCATTTGAGCTCCTTCTACTACCTAACTCTGTGCTTTTCGTTGTTGTTGTTCAACAAGCGGACCAGGCCTGCTTGTGGTCCATTATAATCTTTAATATCTCTATCATTGTTGATGATAATGATGATGATGATGATGATGATGATGATGATGATGCTGACGATGAAGACGCTGTTGATGATGACAATGACAATGATAATGAAGATTCACAATCATGGCTACTTCTGAAGAAAGAAAGAAAGAAAGAAAGAAAGAAAGAAAGAAAGAAAGAAAGAAAGAAAGAAAGAAAGAAAGAAAGAAAGAAAGAAAGAAAGAAAGAAAGAAAGAAAGAAAGAAAGAAAGAAAGAAAGAAAGAAAGAAAGAAAGAAAGAAAGAAAGAAAGAAAGAAAGAAAGAAAGAAAGAAAGAAAGAAAGAAAGAAAGAAAGAAAGAAAGAAAGAAAGAAAGAAAGAAAGAAAGAAAGAAAAGAAACCAGTTTAAAAAATATTGTTGCTATTCGCTGCTACTATTCAGTTCTACGTTCAGTGCTAATGTCAGTGCCTCTAAATTGTCTGCGCGCTATACCAATGTCAGAATCAACGCACAGCGATATGCTGTCAAATCGCCTACTGCTGGAACTGGGTATTTTTAATTACTGACGCTTAAGAGATACTGACAAAGGGAAGACAATAAAATCGTCGTTGTCAATGAGATACAGAAGTGTCGTGGTCAATGAGATACAGAAGTGTCGTGGTCAATGAGGTACAGAAGTGTCGTGGTCAATAAGATACATAAATGTCGTGGTCAATGAGATACAGAAGTGTCGTGGTCAATGAGATACAGAAGTGTCGTGGTCACAAAGATACAGAAGTGTCGTGGTCAATGAGATACAGAAGTGTCATGGTCACAAAGATACAGAAGTGTCGTGGTCAATGAGATACAGAAGTGTCGTGGTCAATGAGATACAGAAGTGTCATGGTCAATGAGATACAGAAGTGTCGTGGTCAATGAGATACAGAAATGTCGTGGTCAATGAGATACAGAAGTGTCGTGGTCAATGAGATACAGAAGTGTCGTGGTCAATGAGATACAGAAGTGTCGTGGTCAATGAGATACAGAAGTGTCGTGGTCAATGAGATACAGAAGTGTCGTGGTCAATGAGATACAGAAGTGTCGTGGTCAATGAGATACAGAAGTGTCATGGTCAATGAGATACAGAAGTGTCGTGGTCAATGAGATACAGAAGTGTCGTGGTCACAAAGATATAGAAGTGTCGTGGTCAATGAGATACAGTAGTGTCGTGGTCAATGAGATACAGAAGTGTCGTGGTCAATGAGATACAGAAGTGTCGTGGTCACAAAGATACAGAAGTGTCGTGGTCAATGAGATACAGAAGTGTCGTGGTCACAAAGATACAGAAGTGTCGTGGTCAATGAGATACAGAAGTGTCGTGGTCACAAAGATACAGAAGTGTCGTGGTCAATGAGATACAGAAGTGTCGTGGTCACAAAGATACAGAAGTGTCGTGGTCAATGAGATACAGAAGTGTCGTGGTCACAAAGATACAGAAGTGTCGTGGTCAATGAGATACAGAAGTGTCGTGGTCACAAAGATACAGAAGTGTAGTGGTCAATGAGATACAGAAGTGTCGTGGTCACAAAGATACAGAAGTGTCGTGGTCAATGAGATACAGAAGTGTCGTGGTCAATGAGATACAGAAGTGTCGTGGTCACAAAGATACAGAAGTGTCGTGGTCAATGAGATACAGAAGTGTCGTGGTCACAATGATACAGAAGTGTCGTGGTCAATGAGATACAGAAGTGTCGTGGTCAATGAGATGCAGAAGTGTCGTGGTCACAAAGATACAGAAGTGTCGTGGTCAATGAGATACAGAAGTGTCGTGGTCACAAAGATACAGAAGTGTCGTGGTCAATGAGATACAGAAGTGTCGTGGTCAATGAGATACAGAAGTGTCGTGGTCACAAAGATACAGAAGTGTCGCTGTCAAGGAGATATAGAAGTGTCGTGGTCAATGAGATACAGAAGTGTCGTGGTCAATGAGATACAGAAGTGTCGTGGTCAATGAGATACAGAAGTGTCGTTGTCACAAAGATACAGAAGTGTCGCTGTCAAGGAGATATAGAAGTGTCGTGGTCACAAAGATACAGAAGTGTCGTGGTCACAAAGATACAGAAGTGTCGCTGTCAAGGAGATATAGAAGTGTCGTGGTCACAAAGATACAGAAGTGTCGCTGTCAAGGAGACATAGAAGTGTCGTGGTCACAAAGATACAGAAGTGTCGTGGTCACAAAGATACAGAAGTGTCGCTGTCAAGGAGATATAGAAGCGTCGTGGTCAATGAGATACAGAAGTGTCGTGGTCAATGAGATACAGAAGTGTCGTGGTCACAAAGATACAGAAGTGTCGCTGTCAAGGAGATACAGAAGTGTCGCTGTCAAGGAGATATAGAAGTGTCAGTGTCGAGGAGATAAAAAAGCATTGCTGTCAAGGAGATTCAGAAGTATCACTGTCAAAGAGATACAGAGGCATCGTTAAGGAGATACAGAAGCAACGTTAAGGAGATACAGAAACGTCGCTGTCAAGGAAATGCAGAAGCATCGCTGTCAAGGAGATAAAGAAGTGTCGTTGTCAAGAAGATGGCGTCATTGTCAGTAAAATACAGAAGCGTT